GCAGATCTGATGTGCACTTATCCTTGAGCTACATTAGCACTCATGGAAAAATTCTCAAGTTGTGAGTCAAAACCAGCCAGTTGTGTCTTCGCATCAATTAGCATGGAGTAGATCTGATCGAGTGGAAGTGTATATGGGCTCGACGTTATCACTTCCATATAGGATTGATACTCTCTTGGCAATCCTTTCAAGATACTAACAACATGCTCCACTTGTAAAACCAGGCTACCACACGATGCAAGAGCATCATAAACCTCCTTAATACGAGTGAGGTACACCCGCATCAAATCATAACCTTTCCTCAGTGATTGTAGCTTATAGTGCAGATTCATCACCGTTGTCATGGATTTGATTGCAAAGAACTGAATAATAGTGCTCCAGACAGCCGCAGCAGACTCAACACCAACAAACTGAGGCAAGAGAGGTCGTAGATAGAAGCCACGAGTTAAGAGCATTGTCTTGTGCCATAAAATCTTCAAATGCCTCATTAACAACAGATGCACCATCAGCATCAACAACGAATTCAAGTGGAACCGACATAGTACCATTGAGAAGCCACTCCAGACGATGATTACGCACCATAAGCAGGATCTGCTGCTTTCAAAGAAGGAAGTTTATCTCATCCAAAACAACGTTGACCTTTTTATTTGTAAACATGGAGATCAGTGAAGACTCAAGGAAGAGGCAACAAGAACACAGAAACCCCACGACCCTTAGTGAAAGATACCATATTAAGAAACTGAGAAATAAGAAAGCAACTATATCTTCATTTCATGCATTAAACTTGCTGAGTTACATTGCTTATATAGCAAACAGTTGCTGAATAAAGAAGCACGTAACAAACTGTTAGATCCAATAGTGATAACCGTACTGACTAAGAACCTAACAACCCTAGGTTTTGCTCATCTACAGCGCAACACATCCTATAGAGCATAAGCCTGCTTGAACCTGCACCATGCATGCCATGCACACGTTCAGTCTTCCAACATTATCAAACCCTCAAAAACTCTAGTTTTGATATTCCATTTCTTGTTGTCACGTTGTTGTCCTATTTCTTCCATTGCTTGGTTCATTCAGTTTCATAAAAACCTTGCTTCTTGATGATGATGGTAGTGAATTGGTGATGAAATTCAAAAGATAGAAAATGAAGCAGCTGGGAGTTTAGGTTATGAAAAGAAAGTGAAAAAGGGCATGGCAAAGAAAAGGTAAAAATGTTATTTGACCATTTGTATTTGTATAGAGAGGTCTTTCACTCGAAGAGCATTAACAAAGGTTAAGATAATTAATATCTATTTCGTGCCCCATCAGTATTTTGTTATTCCAGTAACAACTGTTAACAACGGGTGACAATTTTGTTATAAATAGATAACATTAGTGACCGATATATTAATTTAAAACTTCAATGAGAAAAATGAAAGTTTACTCAAACATTGATAACTATTTGTGTAGTTTACCCTAAAACTTATTTAGGAGTAGTAAGTCAGATGTAACTATGATTTTATGCTTCTCTATTTATATCTTTCTTGTTTTATCTTTAATCGTATCACATTGATTGTATTGGAATATTAAGAAAGAATTTTATTTTTTAAATATTTTTAAAATTTTGTTGAAGTTATATATTAATTTATTAGTTAAAAGTTTGTGATGTCCTTTTCTAAATGATGTCAATCTGAATAATGTCACATATGGTGGAAGTAGTGAGTCATATGTTTATATTTTCCTTCACCTTGCAGGTAGAGGTAATTGTGTGGTATGTGTTAAAAGCTGGAGAGACGAATGCTAATTAACCAGAATATCTCCCTTCTTTTCCTTCAACTTGATGATGTCTTGCCCAATCATGAGCTAAATCTCTTAGGCTTAGGATTACTTTGATGACACTTTTATTTCAATTAATGTTTAACACATAACTTTAGTTTATCTTAATGTACTATTCAATGGTTTGTCATGTTTATATGCATGTTATATATTGATAAAAATGTGGTAGGTTATTAAAATAATATACTTTTGACAGGGTTAAATTAACTGAATCGAAGTTAGATAATATGAGTGAATGTTTAATCAAATGTTTTTAGCAATCTCTAGACATAAAGCCTTGCCTCAAATGAATAAAAGGTTGGAATTATTAATTGTAGTTGATCTCAAAGCCTACAGACATATAGTACCTTTAGGGGAGGTAACCTAAGGTATTGCTATCGACCGAAGCAGACTACCTTAGAACCCCATGGAGCAGTAGATTAATCACAACTTTTTTATGGCATTATTTGTTATTAAATGTTGATTCTATAGTAATCTCAACTACTCCAATCAAAATCAGAATTTCTCACCCCCATTTACGTTGTGATTTCGCTTTTGTAATCTTGTTCTATTTAATCATTTTGTTACACATATTTTAATCATTATCATCTCTCAATTTCCCGTAGCATTCTCACTATTTATAATTCATTTGCCATTATATATTTTAAAAATAGTTATACTAACTTGACAGTTTATATTTATCAGATACACACGAAGACGATATCATTTATTTTATTATTCGTTTGACGTGTATACTTACACAAATTACATATCAATTGTATACTTGATCATTATCGCAGGATCTGGTTGGTATATATACCAACATTTCCCCAAAAGAGACCATTCTTTTCCTAATTGTAAGTCTTTGTCGTCGTATTCTCTCTTGAAGTACTCGTCACCCTATTTTCGACCATCGTTTATGTCATCAGTCGACCTATTTTGATCGTCGTTCTAAGCATATCGTATTCGTTATCACCTCCATACGTTGTCTTGTACTAGAGAAGATCGAAAGTGAACCTATGTTCTCATTTTTCCAAAGTATCGAGAGCTCCTCTACCACTGTTGCCAAACATGGTAAGTGCCCCGACTCCTCTCCCCGCTTCTACTTTTCTTATTCTTTATGGATTCTTTCTCTTCTTAAAACATTCAAATTGCCATACCCACCACAGCCCTCATAGACATGTCATGCCACTAGCGACTCCTCAAACCCTAACCATCATCCTTGAATTATAAACCCTAGCCTAGTATGATGTCAAGCTCGAAAGTTATCAGTCCTATTTCTGTGGCCCATCTAGGTGGCTTGTTGTCCAAATAGTTATCCAAGTTCGTAGCTTTTTTCGGTCCTACCTGCTCAGACCTGTCTGAGACCCAAGTCTAAAGTTGAGCACAAAGCCCCAAACAAGTGGAAGCTAGCTGAAATCGGATCAATCTGTACTCGATCTGATCCGTTACTCAACCCATTTTTCGATTTGATCCGACTTGTTATCTGATCCAGATTGTCATGTTGACCGACTTATCTAACAGACTTGTTTGACCTATACCGGTTAACTCGAATTCGACCATTGACTATAACTCTAACTCTTGACTTTGACTTTGATTTATTGACTTCAATTTTCATCTTAAATTACTTGATTCTGACTTGTATTCTTCATGTATTTATCATCGATTCAATTATCTACTATATGATATGTAAATGACTTTGGAAAATGCATTATTCGAACTTTATCTTCATGCCAAAACCAAACATATTGAACATAATCTTCATTTTCTACGAGACAGTTTTGAACAATCAACTGCAAGTTAACTATATTCCAACAACAAAAAAAGCAATTTGCTGACACTTTGACTAAATCTCTACCCACATGTCCATTTACTCAATTGTGACAGAAGCTATGAGTGTTTTCTCCTACTGAAGCTGCTACTACTTATCAACAGGGAGAATGTTAGCGTTATGTATTAGAGCAAGTCTGGGTATATTGGTCTTTAGAAAGATGGTTTTCATCAGTTTATAAAGGTTGGTATTTTACCATTTAATGTCATTGTATATGAGCTCAGTAGATTAGCCAAAAAATATACATTGTAATATAGGCTTTGAAAGAATGAGGATGTTGATTTCTATTTTCTCTCTTGTTTAATACAGCTAACAGACTACTCACATTGGTGCAGTCTTATATAGTTACCTAATTCGTTAAAAGGCTAGCTTTGGATCACCTAATTGAACATAGTCGATCCAATTCATTGGATTTAACGAATTATTTAATCAAAAAATTGGAATTCCTAATTTGTTATATCCTTCAGACAAGAGGAATAAACCAATGGATTAAATCCACTTGAGAATCTAATAATTGAGAGAAACTCTCTTGTAGGCTACAGTTGCTGCATGGGTAATGAGACGCGATGGCACACTGCTTTTCATGGGTGAAGAGCACGGGAAGAAGGCGCCTTTCGGTTTCTTTATTTATCATTATATTTTTTTCACATTTGTACTCATTTTTAAAAAAAAATATTAACTTGTCTACTTTTTTTACATTACTTCAATATTTTTTTATCCACATTATTACCTTTTGTACATAAAATTCGAGTTATCGAGAAATTCATTATGTATATATCAGTTTGTTCGTTGTTTTTTTAATATATAAAATATGGATTTTTTTATTTGAGCTCATATACTTGGCAAACAAGATTCTATAACAAAGGTCGACTCAAATACGAATCTATACAGTTACTTTTACAATATATGTACTTTATCAATTGATTAAGAAAATGTTAGTCCACTTTTATACCAAATTTATTTTCGAGATTTAAATTAGTTAGAATTCTAAACTCTTAAATTAGAGATATATGAGCTTGAACATACTCAAACTAAGACTCTGTCACTTAATTCAGACAAATAGCTACACACAAAATAGAAGCTTGGTTTATATGTTCTAAAATTGTATTATTCATATTTCTTTTGTTTTAGCCTTTTTTTTAACGATTCTATTGGTGTTTTGTTTAAAATTAGGAGCCCTTATTCAGAAATGAAACATAAAAAAAATAGCATATATAAAATATAACAATGAAACAGAAAGATTTTATTCAAATTCTGAATACTTCATAACATGAGTTATATCAAATGTGGTAAATGTTTCATCAGTTTCCTACAAAACTAATTAAAAAAAACATGGAAAGACAAATAACCTCTGCAATTTCTTAAAATTGGTTATGCAAGCTTATGCAAAGCCTCCGCTGGTAGCTGTCCTGATAATCTGGAAGAGAGCTGTTATAAAGAATGGGAAAAAACCAGTAAAAATGTATATTATTTCGACGTTTCATTTTTCTTGAAGTATATGTATTGTTCACTCGTATCCGACACATAAATAAAGATATGACATTTAAGAATCCGCGCTGTCCGACTCGAAACCAAACAAATATACCTGGTGGGACGCTATTGCTAGATTCTAAATTGTAGCTATAGGAGTTTTAAGCAATTCCCTGTGAAGATTGCAACCAAGGAACATAACTTTAAAATAAGAAAAAGTATAGGTTCTATTTTCTCCATACTTGACTTTTCTTTCCCTTTTCATACTTCTTACCTGGCCCTAAACATTGCATAAATAAATTTATTTACTAAAGAAGCAAGCACTAGCAGGCATAAGCACAGACACAGCACCATGCACTTCTATATGTATTATCAATGGCATGTTGAACATATTAAGAAAAAGCTCGTGCATTGCATTTGCTATTTCAAAAAGTCACTGTGGATATCTAAGGGAAATATGATCGTGAAAGGATTAGCTGCTGATTATCTTACATGATCCGATGACAACGAACACGAAGAACCCAAGCAGTATAGAACCTACAGGATAATCATTCCCTTTCTTTGTGGACGTTTCAGGCACAGCTCCTCTCTTTGTTATGTTCTTCTGGAATTTCTCCACCTTCCTCTTTGCAAGGCGCCTTGATGTTGTCTGCACGCATAAGGAAAAAAGAACATCATGAAAATGGATAATCTTTTTTCCCTAGAAAATTTAAAGCAATTTTTTAACTATCATAGAAAGGAGAAATGCTTTTTCGGTGATAATTCAATGTGTAATATAATATGGGATTTTGATTCAATCTGGCATACCACTAATACCATTACTTGCATAATAGCATTTTACGTTGACTCATTTTATATACAAATAAATCTATTTAAAGTTATTTGTATTTCTATCAAAATCAAAGTTTCATAGGTGCAATTAAAACAAAATCAAAATTTCATATGTACAAGTAAACCAAATCGAAGTTGATCACAATTCATAGTAGATAAAAAGAATCCGATCTCATTTAGAGTGTTACCTTTTCTTTTTCTTTTCTGAACTTTGAAAAGGAGGGGAAATATGACCCGAAGTAAAAAAAGATACTACTACTTAAATAACTGATGCGATTAAATTTTGCATCCAAAATGACAGCTAAACTAAGGTTCGTCGAGCTAAATTATTCGCAAATATTGAAGTTTAAAAGCATACTGTCGTAACCAGTTTTCGCCTGAGCACAAATTTTTACTTGGCGGGGAAAATAAGGAAGATAAATGGTTTTTATTGAAATGTTTTGGGGAGTCGCCATCGGCCTTTTGGGTCAGGTAGGTCGAATACCTAAAAAATCATCTTTTAAAAAAGTTTTTAAGAAAACATCAGTTAAAAGATAAACTGGTATACGTTTAACCAAAAATTCATTCTTTTTAATAATAAAAAGGGATTCGTGGTCGATTACGTTTGGAGAAGGATTAGCACCACACAATGCCCACAATTGGTCCTTGTCAATTATAAATTGTCTCTAATAATAGAATTTAAGAATTCAAATATGAATTTAATTTACAATCGTGTTATTTCAAATTTAATATGATATTTCTAAGGAAAAAATATTAAATTTAATATATATATATATATATATATATATATATATATTTAGGGTTTTGTAAATAGGATATTTATTTATTTAAAAATATCAGAAAATGACATCTAGTTGCTTTAAGACTGCCTTTTATTTAATATTAATAAATAAATAAATATTAATAAGAATATAATAATGTTCCTAAAAAAACTAAGTAAATATATATACATTTATAAGCAGGATATTTATTTATTTTTTTTAATATCAGAATAGGACGTCTAGTTATTTTAAGACCGGCCATTTATTAATATTAAAAAATAAAATAAATATTGAAAATGTGATAATTTTTCCTAAAAAATAATTTAAATAAAATTAAATATATATAATTTTTATAATATTTATTTATTTAAAATACCAGAATAGGACATCTAGTTATATTAAGACTGCCCTTTCTTAATATTAAAAAATAAGTAATATTATTATTTAAACAAATATATATATATATATATATATATATATATATATATATATATATATATATATATATGACTAAGATGAAAATAATAATGAAAGTAATAATTTAAATATATCAAAAGTAATAATAAAATAATATTGCAAATAAATAATGATCAAAATAAAAGAAATTAAAATTATAAAATGCAAAATATATTAAATAAAAATAATCAAACTATTAGGGATTAAAATGTAAAATATATAAATTAATGACCTAATTCGAATTATCACAAAATATAGATGTCAACAGTGTAATTTATCCTTTATTAATTAAATGATAAGGGAATAAATCGGTTATTTACCCTAAATATATAAATAAACAGGCAAGGATTAAATTATAAAAAAAACAAAATTAGAAGACAAAACTAATATATGCATAAATGTAATTCCAGTGACTAAAATGGAAGTTTATAAATTTGAAGGGCCGCGGACGGGGTTTACCAAAATATACAGTTACACCCTGAAATAGCATCCTTTCATATTGGTTATAAATACCCTATAACCGGCCCTTAAGGGCCAAAGCTTCATTTATCATTCTCTCTCTAGAGAGAGACATAACAAAATCTCTCTCGATTCTCTCTAAGTTTCCCTTGCTGGAGGGAAACCGGACACCATCCAGAAGCCGTCTACCGTCGCCGACCACCACCGTCGGCCACTGTTAACGGTGGCCGAAAATTTTCAAATTACCCTAGGATATAGATCCCGTTGTTCTAAAGCAGAATTCGGCATCCATTTCCCCTAAAAATCCCCGAAATTTCCTATATCTATGAAAATACCTTCGGTATTTTCGGTTCTCCGACGACGTTTTGAAGGCCTCCGACGACATAGTAAGTTCTTCTCTTCTCTTTTAATTTTGCGTCTGGTTGCTGTGTTTGTTGGTTGTGCTTGCTGCTCGTTCCTTGTGGTTCTATCGATGGTCCCTTTTTTTGTTGCAGGTGACTCGAGGCTTTTATAGCCTCGTCGAGATGTCCCTCAGACCGGTCACGAAGGGGGCTTTCGGTGAGTCACCAAGCTATGGCGGTGACTCACCATAGAGCATTGATGTGGCAAGACAGTTGGCTTCTAGAAAGCTCGGCGAGGGTTGGAGCGTGGTAGTAGCAACGTCGACATCGGCTGGACGAGGCACCTGGCAAAGGCGGCTGAAAGCTTGAGGCTGCGGTGGCGCTAGGGTTAGAAATCCTAGTAGAAACCATAAATGGGTTTAGGGTTTTCATCTGGTTTGGGCCGATTCTGATTGGGTCAGTTCTGGTTGTGTAAAATGGGTTTCAGGGTCTTGGGCTTGTAATTATTCATTTAATAATAATAATAATAATAATTATTATTATTATTATTATATTTAATAATAATAATAATAATTTTAAAAATAGAATGAAAAAATTAGTGTTTACAGTTGCCCCTCTTTGCTCATTCTTGTGTTAACAAGAATAGAGCAAAGACGAAAAAAAAAATAATTTTTTCATTTGGCTTCTTTTGAGTAGGATAGAAACGTTATAAACATTTTGCCCAGAGGCCTTATGAATGGCCCTAATGACTTATTATCTTGCTCGGAAGGCTTACAGATGACCCAGAGGATTTAAGATTAAGAAACCTTTGAAAATCAGTTTCTTAAAATCTCATTTGAAAACATCCTGCACTGGAGGTCTTATGGATGGCCCTGAGGTCTTATCATCTTGCACTGTAGGTCTTACAGATGACCCAGAGGCTTTGAATATCAAAAAGCTCCCGAAGGCTTTTTGAAAACAACCTGCACTGTAGGTCTTATGGATGGCCCTGAGGTCTTATCATCTTGCACTGTAGGTCTCACAGATGACCCGGAGGATTTGAATATCAAAAAGCTCCCGAAGGCTTTTTGAAAACATCCTGCACTATAGGTCTTATGGATGACCCGAAGGTTTTGAAAACATCAAGCACTGTAGGTCTTACAGATGACCCGGAGGTTTTAAATATCAAAAAGCTCCCGAAGGCTTTTTGAAAACATCCTGCACTGTAGGTCTTATGGATAACCCGAAGGTTTTGAATATAAAAAAGCTTCCGAAGGCTTCTTGAAAACATCTTGCACTGTAGGTCTTATGGATGACTCGATGGTTTTGAAAACATCAAGCACTGTAGGTCATACAGATGACCCGAAGGTTTTAAATATCAAAAAGCTCCTGAAGGCTTTTTGAAAACATCCTGCACTGTAGGTCGTATGGATGACCCGAAGGTTTTGAAAACATCAAACACTATAGGTCTTACAGATGACCCGGAGGTTTTAAATATCAAAAAGCTCCCGAAGGCTTTTTGAAAACATCCTGAACTGTAGGTCTTATGGATGGCCCTAAGGTCTTATCATCTTGCACTGTAGGTCTTACAGATGACTCGGAGGCTTTAAATATGAAAAAACTCTCGAAGGATTTTTGAAAACATCCTGCACTGTAGGTCTTATGGATGGCCCTAAGGTCTTATCATCTTGCACTATAGGTCTTACAGGTGACCCGGAGGCTTTAAATATCAAAAAGCTCCCGAAGGCTTATTGAAAACATCCTGCACTGTAGGTCTTATAGATGACCCGAAGGTTTTGAAAACATCAAGCCTTGTAGGTCTTACAGATGACCTGGAGGTTTTAAATTTCAAAAAGCTTCCGAAGGCTTTTTTGAAAACATCCTGCACTGTAGGTCTTATGGATGCCCCTGAGGTCTTATCATCTTGCACTGTAGGTCTTACAGATGACCCAGAGGATTTAAATATCAAAAGGCTCCCGGAGGCTTTTTGAAAACATCCTGCACTGTAGGTCTTATTGATGTCCCTGAGGTCTTATCATCTTGCACTGTAGGTCTTACAGATGACCTGAAGGCTTTAAATATCAAAAAGCTCCCGAAGGCTTTTTGAAAACATCCTGCACTGTACGTCTTATCGATGACCCAAAGGTTTTGAAAACATCAAGCACTGTAGGTCTTACAGATGACCCGGAGGTTTTAAATATCAAAAAGCTTCCGAAGGCTTTTTGAAAACATCCTGCACTGTAGGTCTTATGGATAGCCTTAGGTCTTATCATCTTGCACTGTAGGTCTTACAGATGACCCGGAGGCTTTTTGAAAACATCATGCACTGTAGGTCTTATGGATGTAGGAAATAGTTTACTAAGTAAGAAACTTTGGAAATCACTTTCTTATTATTCAACAATTTCATTTTTAGAAAAGATTGAATGAGAAACTTTGGAAATCATTTTATCATTTTTCAAAATAACTTGTTGATTGGGTAACATGCCCTATTTCAAAATAATGTTTCTTCTGTGGATTGCGTCCATCTATTCTTCATATGTTTACGTGATTCCTGCATTTGAGGTTTGAATTCTACCTTCTTCTTGTAAGATATTTTCCATCAGTAATCTTCTTTTTTCATACGAAGATCTGTAAAACTTCATATTTAAATGCAATCAAATATATCAATGTAATGCATTGTCTATTTTGTAAATCATGTTCTTATGAATGCATGAATGTTGATGCAATCTTCATTTAACTTCAAAGTGGTAAACTCGGTCTTCCTTCACTTGATCATTTATTTCCAGGGTTACTTTTAGATATAGTGTACCAACTTATGTTATATTTTTTAAGAACCATTTGATCAATCTGCATATTTGTGTCTTCTTCATTTGCATTAAAGTCTCAAAAGAAATGTTTCATTTATGGGCTTCTTGCTGTAATTAGAATTACAATCTTGTTGCCCCATTTTATCGTGGATAAAACCGACTTTCTTCGTTTGGACTTGTGTAGA